AAAATCCAAAGCAACAAATATAATTTATAATTATTTGTAAGACAGAGAAATAATAAAAGGGATTTATATAATCCAAAACATACATTAAAAAGATCTAATTTGGATGGCAGGCATTCAAACTGATGGTGTTTGTGAACTCCATTAAAAAAACTCTAGACTATATGGAGGTTGGGAAAAAACTAGCATATAATGGAGCCTACATTAAGATTGCTATGAAGAGACACCATGACCATGGCAACTCTTATAAAAAAACACTTAATTGAGGGTGGCTTGCTTACAATCTCAGAGGTTCAGTCCATTATTATCATGATGGGGAGTATAGAAGCATGCAGACAGACTTGGTGCTGGAGTAACTGAGTGTAGGCAACAAAAGTCGACTGTCACACTGAGGGAAGCTTGATAAAGAGACTTCAAAGCCTGTCCCCACAGTGACACACTTCCTCCAACAAAGCCATACCTCCTCATACTGCCTTTGGGGGTCATTTTCTTCCAAACCACCACATGCCACTCCCTGGCTCCCAAAGGCTTATAGCCATTTCATAATGCAAAAATTCATTCAGTCCAATTTCAAAAGTTCCCATAGTCTATCAATCTATCATAGTCTCAACAATGTTTAAAAGTCTAAAGTCTCCTATGGACCTGCTGGCAGTGGAACCAGTATTTATCCCTAGTGCACAAATGGACTTTAGGAGCCCATTTCCATATGGAGGGATAATCTCTCAGCCTAGATACACAGGGGAGGGCCAAGGTCCTGCCCCAAATGATGTGATAGATTTTGATGATCCCCCATGGGAGGCCTCACCCTCTCTGAGGCATGGACGGGGGTGGGATGGGGAGATGGTGGGGGAAATAGGAGGACTGGAGGGAGAGGGGAACTAGGATTGGTATGTAAAATAAGATTGTTTTTAGTTTAAATAAAAATTATTTTTTAAAAAAGGACAAAGTCTCTTCTGAAAAACATGGCAATCTCTTAACCATAATCTCCCTGTAAAAATTAAAATAAAAAAGCATGGAAAATGTCTTAATTTAGAAAATGTCTCCATGAGATCCATCTATAATGCACTTTCTAAATTAGTGATCAATGTTGGAGGTCCCAGCTTATGGTGGATGATACCATCCCCGGGCTGGTGGTCCCAGGTCCTATAAGAAAGCAGGCCGAACAGCATCCCTCCATGGCCTCTGCATCAGCTTCTGCCTCCAGGGTCCTGCACTGTTTGAGTTCCTATCCTGACCTCCTTTGATGATGAACAGTGATATGAAAGTGCAATTCAAATAAACCCTTTCTTCCCCAACTTGCTTTTTTGGTCACGGCATTTCATCACAGCAATAGAAACCCCTAAGAAATAAAAATGTAGAGGAACCTTTACCCATATATTCTAGTCTCTGATCTGAGAAGGTACTCTGCAGAGTATGGAAAGAGAAACCTGGACACCAACCTACTCACAAAACCATCCACCTACAATCTGTCCTGTCTGCAAGATGTCCTTGGGCAATGCTGACACAGAACATTTGGGATTGGCCAAGCAATGTTTGATCTAACTTGAGGCCCATGCCATGAGAGGAAGCTCGTGCCCTACACTACCTGGATGTCCAGGAAGCAGAGACTGGATAGCCCAGGGACTTAGGGTAGAACCAAATATAACTGAAAAACTATCAATGAAATGATTCCTAATGATATTCTCCTATAGTCATAGATCATTGTCTTGTCCAGTCATAAGCAGCAGATGGGTGCAGGTGCAGAGACTCACAACCAGACATTATGCAGAAAGAGCCTAAATTGGAGATCTCCTTAGGATCCCTTCCTTTGGAGACCAGGAACCCCACAGATTGGGGGGGAACTATATGAGTCATATAGGATAGAGGACACCAGGAGAAACAACTAAGCAGGGCTCACATGGGCTCACACAGACTGAAGCAGCAATCACAGAACCTGCATGGATCTGTACAAGGTCCTATGTGTATGTATTATGGATGTTAGCTTGGTGTTTCTGTGAGACTCCTAAAGGTGGGAATGGGTGTATCTCTGACTCTGGACTGTTCTTGGGACTCTTTTCCTCCTATTGGATTGCCTTGTCTAGCCTCAATAAAAGGGTTCTCATGTTGTCTTATTGTATGTTGTTTTGTCTTGTCTAGTTATTGTCTCTTGGAGGCCTGTTCTTTTCTGAAGAGGAAAAGGAGGGGGGAGTGGACCAGGGGGAGAGAGAAGGAGGAGGAGGAGGAGGAGGGGAACTAGTAGTAGAGGGAGGGGAAAATTGTGATTGGAAGGTAAGTTCAAAAGCAAGTGTTTTCTGTATGCTATTTTCTATAGGCACTCATCATAATTTCCACCAAGCTCTTCCTATTCCAGATCTAATAGGAGTCAAACATACTTTTAAGTTTCTCTGTATACTTTTGTTGACTTCCAGTTCATTTGCAAGACTTTGGAACAGCAATTTCCATTCTATGAGTTCTATTTGTTGACTAAAGAACCAAATATTAGCATTCTAAAAATATTTTAATCTTCGACGATGTTAGCTTAGCTAGATTTCACACCTTGATATTGACCTGTCACCAAGCAACAGAAATCTGTAATTTTGAAGGACTTGAATACACTCCAAAAATAAATCCTAATGTAAATGCCATTACTGAAGACTCCTCCCTTTAGCTAGTCATGTTCTAACCTGCCCTCTTCAATTCTCAAGAAAGTCCAGAAAACTAACTGCCTTTTACTTGTTAACAAGGTACTTACATTCAGCTAATGAAGAAATAAAGGCTAATTCACTAATTTTGCCTTGAATAAGAACTCGAAATCATCTTTCTTCTTAATAATTTGTATGTAAAAGATAATCCAGCAACCAACACTGTGCTAAAATGAACACAAAAGTTTAAAATCTCAACACTAGCTAACAAATCAATTTGTAATATTGTCCTCTATTCAGCTTAAACAAATACAGTGAAGTATGGACTCACGATCTGTTGCTTTATAGCTTTATTTAAGGACACAGTTAGTGGGGGGCTCCTCAACAGAGCTCACAGATGAGAAAGGAGAGGTGACAATGACGAGTCAGCCTGTGGTTTTACTTTTATCTTTTCAAATACTTAGTTTTTCTTTCTGATTACTTCTGTATATTACAAAAGTTCTGCCCTCTGCTTCTTTGTAATCTACTTAATTTGTAATTTTCTGACTATAATATCTTCATTTCTCCAACTCCAGCCTGCCTCCTGAGCTTGCCCTGCAATTTGTATCACCAAATGCACTGTTCTCTATTTAGATGTTCTGCTAATATCTCAACATGCCCAAAAGTGAAATCTTCATTCTACAAACAAGATTTGACTTACTACCTACTTCTTTTGAAAGCATTATCATTCTTGTATTCCTAGCATCAAGTTGGAATTTTGCTGTTTTCACTCCTAATAACCAATCTGTTGCTATGTCTCAATTCTACCTGACATGTCTGACATCTTTCACTCCCACAATTGCTTTTCTACCATGACTTCTATACAGTCTGCTGTTACTTCTTACCTAGACTATTACACTGGTCTCATAACTAGTTGATAAATATTTGCCATATGAAAGCATAAAATTGATGGATGGTATGTATTAATTCATCTTCCACAACAGAGCCATATTAACTTCTTAAAGCATACTTCTAACCATATTAGTGTGTTGCTCAAAATCAAAGCTCTTATTTTTCACATTATAAATCTCTTGCTTTATGGTGAAGGTATTTCATATCAGAAGCTTTCTCTCTAAACTTGCTTCCAATTCCTCTGAAATATCATCCTTTCAACGGAGCCAAGATAGGCTATGGTACTTCTCCACACTTACTATATTTTCTCACTAGGCCACAGTTTAAATTATCTCTACTTCTCTAACAATCGGACTTCTACAGGACTGTAAAAGATATTATTTCCTCTGCAAAATCTTTCCTGACTCCTCATCATGGTGGTTCCTCCCATCTTTCCTGTAAAACCCCACAACACTTGAATAGTATTTCTTTAAATCATTTATGATCCATTGTGTCTCATAGTAATAAAATAAAAATTGCCGTACCCCAGTATGATTTGAGGGAAATTTTTTCTTTATAATCTCATTTACATTTGAATACCCACTCTGGGTTCTCTTCAGATTGTATAAATCTTTTACCTTTTACATTTGAATACCATATAGGGAATGCCAAAACCAGTATTTTGTATATGTTCTCAAATATTTTAGGGCAGAGGAAAGAATGAACAAATAAAAGGGCACACTTGAGGAGGCCTCGGCAATCTATGGGGCCTTGGGTAGTAGATTAGTATTTATCCCAGGCATACAAATGGACTTTGGGAGCCCATACCACATTGAGGGAAGCTCTCTCAGCCTGGACACATGGGGGAGAGCCTAGGCCCTGCCCTGCATGATATGGCAGACTTTGAAGACTCCCCTATGAAGGGCCTCACCTTCCCTGGGGAGTGGGGATTGAGTGGGGGGTTGTGGAGGTTGGGGGATGGAGGCGGAGGGGAGGGAGAGGAAGGAGGGAGAGGGAGCTGGGATTGACATGTGAAGCAAGCTTGTTTATAATTTAAATAATAAAAAAAGAAAAAAACTGAGAGGTGTCTCAAAAATATCTTGAGGGTCTGTACTGAAAGCACTCGGGCTTTGTGGCTTTTGTTTTTCCTTTCATTTCTTTCTTTTTCCTCTTGACGTTAAGTTTTGGCACTTATAGTTACAGATGTACACAGAAATATGTTTAAAATAAGCACCACTAACACTCTGAGGAACTTCTTTTATAAAGTTCCATATGCTTTCTTACAACCAGTGTTTCTGCAACCTATACACTTGTGTTAGGAGTGAATTAATTTATGTTAATACTATCAGACTTTTGATTCAGAAAAAATATCTCCCAGTATCATACAATTTCTGCTCAATGAATGAAATAATTTTGTAAACTAATCAAAGTCCTAAAAGTTGACTATGTTCTATTGACAGTACCTTGCTTACTAGAAAAACTTACAGTATTTTCAAAAAAGCACATTCTTACCTTTGCACCACCCAAAAATCCCAAGGAGATGGCAACTCTGGCTCGTAGATCTGGCCTGTCTTTGGGCCACACATAAGAAAGCATTGCTTTAATGATTTTTCTAGTATCAACGTCTTTTAACTGTTAAAAGAAAGAAAACAAAGCAGGAAGTAATATCATTTCAAATGTTACCAATTTTACTTAAATATGCTATAATAAAATTATTATAGTATATTCATTCACTCCTGTGTGTGTGTGTGTGTGTGTGTGTATGTGTGTGTGTGTGTGTGTGTGTGTTCCTACATGCAAGACAAAGCATGAATGTGGAGGTCAGAAGACAATTTTCAAGAATCTGTGGGTCCCTGGAATTGAACTCAGATCTTCAGGTTTGGCAGCAAGTGCCATTATCCAGCAAACTCTCATTAGCTACAACCAAACTTTCATATTGTAGAATTACATATTTATGAAATGCATGAAAACATTACAAACATAACTTACATTCTGAATCTAAGGATGACCCCAGAAAAGACTCCTAGCAATACCAGACTTTAGCCTGAACTAGTCATTTCCTGTGATGAGGAAATACTTCAAGTGAGGAGAATGGGAAACCAATCCAGTCAAATAACTTTTCACCTACAGTCTGTCCTGACTATGGGATATGCTGGGGTAAGGTTGGCCTAGAGATTGAGGGAATGGCCAACCAATAACCATTCTAGCCTAAAACCCATGCCAGGAGAGTAAGCCCACCCCTGACACTGCCTCGAGCACCAGTACACATAGGCTAGATGACCCAGAGACCTAGGATAGAATAAAACATGACTGGAGGGAAAAATGTCAATGTAATAATGCATAACGATACTCTGCTATACACATAGAATAGTACCTAGCCCAACTGCTATCAGAGAGGTTTCATCCGGCAACTGATGAAAACAGATGCAGACCCACAGCCAAATATTAAGTGTAGCTTGGGGAATCCTGCAGAAGAGGGGAAGATTGTAGAAGCCAGAGCGGTCAAGAACACCACAAGAAAACTCACAGAATCAACTACCTTGGGTTCATAGTGGCTCACAAAGAATGAACCAAAAAACCAGGGAGCCTGTATGGAACTGACCCAGGCACTCTACATATATGTTACAGTTATGTAGCTTGGTTCTCTTGTGGGACTCCTAACAGTGGGATTAGGGAATATTTCACTCTTGGGACCCTATTTCTCATACTCGGTTACCTTGGCAGCCTTAATACATGGGGAGGTGCTTAGACTTACTGCAATTTGATATGCCATGTTGTATTGATACTCATGAGAGAACCTACCCTTTCCTAAACAGAAATGGAGGAGGAGTAGATTGGGGGGTAGGAATACAGAGGAGTTGGGGATGGGGGACTAAGAGGAGAGGAGGGAGGGGAAACTTTGGCTGGGATATAAAATGAAAAAATTTACTTTTTAAAAGAAAATTTGGAGAAGAAAAGAAACAAGTTCAATTGCTTTTACAAGGTTACTCATTTCTGAACTGGGGATGTAGTTCAGTTGGTTGAGTTCTTGCCTAGCATGAAGAGATCCCAGATCTGATTTTCATCACCACATAAAACTGGGCACAGTGGGCCATGCCTATAATCCCAATCCCAGCATTCAAGATATGGAGGAAGGAAGATCAGAAACTCAAGATTGTCCTTGGCTACACAGCAAATTCAAGGCCAGCACTCCAGCCCAAACACACATACATTTTACTCATGTTCTTCAACTTCTTACTTTCATCTATTGTCACATGCATACTGCTAAAAGAGTTTTTCAATAGCGGCATGGGAACATGAACCATACATATTTTTTTAACTATTAAGAAATAAACATTGCAGAAGCCTTAAAATAGCTCTGCAATCCCATCATCTTAATGAATTTTGCATTCTTAAACCAAAATTCATCAGAGGGCAGACTTATAGTACTGCATTTAGGAAAACAGGATTCTTGGTATTGACTGTACTGTAGCAATCTGAGATTATTTAAAATGTCAACCACTTTTTGGTTATGCTTAATCGGATCCAAGTAGAGATCACATTTATCTTTTTCTTATTTCTAAGACAATATTCACCTCAAATATTTGGTTTTGGTTTCAGCTTTAGAGATAGAATTTTAAAAACCAAATTAATATTGTGTGTGTGTGTGTGTGTGTGTGTGTGTGTGAGCCCAGGTGTATGTATGTGTGCTTGTGCACCAATGTGTGGAAGCCAGAGGAAGATATCTAAATCTTCCCCTGACACACACTGTCTTACTCTTTTGAGGCAAAGTCTCTCTGTAAACCTGGAGTTTACATTTTTTTCTGCAAGGCTGGCAGTTACCTTTATTCAACAGACCTCTTGTCTCTTCTCTCCATAGCACTAGGGAATACAAAAGCAGGCCTAAGTGTCCATGAACACTGGGATCCAAACTCAGATCTTCATGGTTGTAGATAAAGTATTTTTAACCACTAAGCTATTTCTCCAGCACCCCCGCCCCAATTCACACTTTCTGAAACCAAAATAAGGAGATGATTATATTTTCTAAAATTACTATATTATGATAGTTGGTAAAAACAATCCCCATTTAAAACTAAAATAACTCAATGTCAAGAAAAGAAAAAAAGATATTTTTTACTGGTACGGATATACAGTAGTGAGCACTAAGTATACTATTAGTGGAGGAAATGCTGAAAACATATATCTAGAAAGCAATTTCATATCTAACATAAGCTTTTAAAATAATTCTGTCCTCTGTGCCCAAAAATCTACTTCTGAGAACTTTTGCTAAAAATAATCTTAACACTGTGCTACAAGTTGAATCTATTTTACCTGAAAAATATTTTGAATCTGTCAAATTCTTTCCATTTCCAATCACTAATATAATCCAAGTTACCATTCTTACCAAAACAAAAAAACCTCATCGCGGTAGCTTCCTAACTTATCTCCCTGCATTCACTCTCTTCCCTATTGAGTAGATCACCCTACAATAAATAGCCCTTTAGTTTCAAACACTTAAGCAGTTGCCTATCATTCTTGAACTAAAGAACAAAGTCTGTAACAGCATACAAAGCTCTGTTTAGCCTGGCATACACATGTCTTTGTATAACTGTGTTCTCTGTGTCTAGAAAAGCCTCAAAAAATCCTATCCCTTCCCCCCAGCTCTTTAAACCTGTTAACCACCTTCAGCAACATAGAAGCATCTATTCTATGAAGCTACTCCTAACACTAGTCAGGATCCTTTTTCTGTTTTCTCTTATATATCATTTTTCCTTTCTTTTGGAGTATCTACTTCACTCAGAAACTATGTATGCATGTATGTATGTATGTATGTACTTATGTATGTATATCAAGAAGGTTCATCAGGTAAAGACACTTGTCATCAAGCTTCATGAAGTGAGTTTGAACCCTGGAATCTACATAATTAAAAAAGAACCTCCAATCTCTGTAAGGTGTCTTCTGATCTTTACAGAGGCACCATGGCAGGTAACCCAAAAAAATTAATTAATTTTAGGGGAATTTATTAATTTTAGGGGGTCATTCTTGGTTATACAGAGTTCGTGGCAAGTGTGGGATAAAGGAGACCCAGTAAGAAAGGAAGAAGGGAAGGAGGATGGGAGCGAAGGAGGGAGGAAAGGTTAAAAGACAGAGAGAGATGGGGAGAGACAGAGAGAGGGAGAGAGGGAGGGAAAGAAGGGGGAAGAAAGTGTGTGTGTGTGTGTGTGTGTGTGTGTGTGTGTGTGTGTGTGTGTGTGTGTGTGTGTGCACGTGTCCTCTGACAAGTCTGCACCACTTAATACTGCCACTCTCTTTGGGGGCTAATTTTTTTTCAAACCATGACAAATATCATGTCTTTTCTCAAATAAATAATTTAAATTTAAATATGTTATATGAGTATAGGTTTATGCATATGAAAGCAGGAGAATTCTTTGGTGAAAGGAAACCAGCGAGAGGGGGAAAAGTAGTTGATCTGGAGCAAGTACAGGCCATGTACAGTGAGGTAAGTATATGAAAATCTCATAATGAAACTCATTATTTTGTATGGTGAGTAAAAATGAAATTTTAATTAAAAAAGAAAACCTTACACCAGAGTTAACTAAAATTCTAAAAATACTGAATAAAGAATCAAAAATTTAGCTATAACCATGTTTATACTTGGGCTGTTTTAACAGAAACAAAATTATAAAATAATACCCCAAACACATTAACAACAGCAGCTCAAGTGAAGAGAATAACCGATAAATTTTTATATTCTTCTTAGTTGTTTGTATTTTGATATATATGTAATAAGAAAAAAATAATTTCAAAAATGAAAAAGTTATACAGTTTAAAGAAAATATGTATAGCAATGAGTGGGCAGAAGCCTTCATACAACAAACCCAGGACAGTACATCATAAAACACAGGGTACTTTCATGTTATGACCAACCTCATGAAGCTCAGCAAACTACTTTGCTTGTGTTCTAGGCCATTTATTGTGCAAAGAGTAACAGAAATAAAACTGCTTGCATTTTACAAAAACAGAAGGACTGCCATCCTGAGCTGTTTCAAATTCTTAAGACGGCAAAAATATGAAATGCCAAAAGTATAGTTCCTGTGTTTTATTTTACACATACATACATACATACATACATACTCATAACTGCTAAGGCATTTTGAAAAGGAATGAGGCAGTAACTTTAAAATTCACTTTTTCCAATCAAATAATCGCAAAATAAATATAATCTAATGCATTATAACACAAACTGGGAGATTTCAACCACTTTCCCATTTCACAAGTTTTGTCTGCCTTATTTTTCTTGATGGAGTAATGGAAAAAGGCCCTGTTTCCACATATCTTTAGAAACATTCCCTCCTGTCAAAACCTTCTACAACACACCCCAGAAATTTTTCAATAAGGACACAGAGAAGTTATGGCTAAGAGCAAGAAAATTATTCTAGTTGGCTTAATAGTGCATAAAATGTCACCACTTCATTTAACAAAATGGGTTCTGAAGTTGTGTAATCATGCATTATGAGTCCATTAAGCTGTAAAGGACATGACTTCAGTTAGAGTTTAGATAAACTATAAAGTTTGAAAAATGTCTTTTTTAAAAAGTAGAGGCCAAATCAAAACAGGATTTCAGAGCCTGAGACACAAATTTAAAGAATTTT